TATCAACTCTAGTGATGGATGCCCTGGGTCTGTCTTTGTCGCGAATCGTTGAAAAATATTGATTAACTCCGTGACCTCTGTCAACATTTTCCAGGCTCTTAGCGTAATAACCAGGGATTGTGCCGTAATCATGGGAAAGATGATCGCCTTCAAATTTGCTTAGCCCATGAAGACTTTGTTTATCAAAATTACTTGGTATTTGTTTCTCGCTCTGATTTTCTTTTTGGTATGGCACATTTTTATCTTGTTGGTAGTTCTCCTGAATCGGTGTTCCTTGTCTTACAGCGTCTCCTTTGCATTCCACTGCACTACAATTGTACGCTACTGGGTCAAAGGTTCCAATCTCTAAGTTTTCTTTAACGCCCACTGTGTTGTTGCTTTTCGGTTTATAGCGAGCTACAATAAACGTACATTTCATTCCCCACTTGGTGCCAAATGCTCTTCCAACCCCAATCTCTTCTGTGGCTTTCCATACAAGCTGAGCAAAATGCGAAGAGACTTCAGTGAAAGTGTGCAATGAAAAATTGTGGCAGCAAGCCTCATCATACCTTTAGGAATCAATAAATAGTTATTAGATCAGTCAAACTATTAATCTATCTATCATAGCATCATCGATAAACTGATATGTCATTTAAAATATTTTTAATTAAATCAGTCGGTTAGTGGAGATAGTAGCCAGTTAACCAATCCCTTAACCTTTCTGCCGTTCAGCTAGCCATGCCAGCCAGCTGGCTACTGAGCTCATCAATCAGTCCCATTAGTCAGGCCAGTCAGTTAGCTGGTCAATCAATCGGTTAGTCAGTTTCTGGACAGTCACTCAGTTAGCTAGTGAGCAATTCAGTCAGTTAGTTAGTCACCAGTCAGTCAACCAGTCACCCAGCAAGTCAGTCAGTCTGTCAGTCCCTAATACTCACCCAGTCACTCAGCCAGTTACTCAGCCAGTTACTCAGCCAGTTACTCACCCAGTCACTCAGCCAGTCACTCAGCCAGTTACTCAGCCAGTTACTCAGCCAGTTACTCACCCAGTCACTCAGCCAGTCACTCAGCCAGTTACTCAGCCAGTTACTCAGCCAGTCAGTCAGTCAGTCAGTCAGTCAGTCACTTCGTCGGTCGTTCAGTCGGACAGTGAACGGAAAACTTGTCAGGCAGCGAAATGGTCAGCCAGCTAGTCATTCAGGTAGGTAGGCCCCGGAAGCATTCACACACGGAAAAGACAGTCAATCAGTTATTGGGCCAGTCAGCTAATAAATTTATGACTTAATCAAGTTAATCAAGTCAATCGATCTGAGATTATTATACATCATATACCATTTGGCAATTGCTTCTCTTGCAGTTATTCCATCTCCTTCACCCTCTATGCATCCCATGGCCAGGTTCTCGCCTTCTCCTCTTCCCATTCCCTCCTTGATGGATGCATGTCGAAGATCTTTCTCGGCAGCCAATTTCAAAGCCCACCCCTTGGCTGCGATAGACATGTTCGTATTGTTTTGAACTGGTGGCGAAAAGTGCACGGAGCGAAGCTCGTTGTGGAAGGCAACCATGTCATCTATAAACTGATTGTCTGAAATGATTTATATGCCGCAAAAAACAAACAAACAAACAAACAAACTGATTAAAAAACTTTTCAATATCAAATAACAGTGCGAGACTTTTAATTAACTAAAAATTTAGATCTATTAATAGCATTTACCTAGTATGAGTTCACAGTAATATTCAATTGATCGATTACTGGTTAATTCTCTCTAAAATTGGGAGTAATCCCTACTTGAATTCACTCGGCCTATTTTTTCAGTTTTTTTCTACAGCAGGAGGATTTTAGTATTGTTGCTATCCCTCAATGAATTGTTACTGATTAGGAACAAAAGGCCCGGCCATAGAGTACTGTGGGCCTACCCCTAAACCTAAACCTTCGCGGCTAATATGCGAAATCATCGTAAATAGCAAACGTCCATTGGCTGCTGCTCTACCTTTTTTCTCGTTAGGAATATCTAATATACTACCTTTATAACTGAGGATACATTTCGTTCTCCTACTTACCTTCTGGAGTTAGAAAGTTTCTAGGATTTTTTGGTTCACTCTTTATTGGTAAACCCGAGGGACTAACTCTGCTTGATGGAAGTGATGTTATGATAGCAGTGGCCTTATCCTTTGATGTGTATGTTGGCAACCCTATCACCAGCTTTAGTCCTATCTCTGCCGATCTGTTCGACATGTAATACGTTCCTTTACCATGAACACTGCTGTCAGAAATCTTGAATGTTCCCGATGCCGGGCTCAAAGAAGCTAAGAAAAACATTTTTTAATTGCATTATTTCCGCATAGTTTTTTTAGTTTTAAGAGACAATTCAAGCTTCTCCTTTACCTGTGTTTGATTTATACGGCGCTAGACATATGAAGAAGACCACAACACAGGTATGAGCATTTGTGCACACCATACTGGAAAGAATAATAAGAAACCAAGAATGTGAAAACATAATTTTGTTTGAGAAATACTGATGTGCGCGCTTGAATTAGCTTAGCCGTCCCCTTCTCCCCTTTCTCACTGGTTCGAATTCACTTGCATAGACCTCAGATGTTCCTCTAAACATAACTTAATTAGTAAAACATGACCGGAGTACAGGTGAGTCAAGTGAGCGGCCATTATTTTCTGGCCATTCAAAGTATGGAGTTAACGTAATGAAAAACGCTACCATAATTGAAGAATCTCTTTTTGCTTTCTTTGAAAAAACCTTTAGCTCCTACACTGTAATAGTAGCAACTAAGTTAGACAGACAGAATCACACAGATACTTCCATCCCTGGAATTTATGACAGCAGTAATTGAGTTTTCGTGACGCAATACAAATTCAAACACAAAACTAAACCCTGAAGACCACACCTATGCCAAGGTATCTTCTCAATAGGAAGAGACAAATTTTAATACAAAAACTAAACGCATCAAAAGAGATTTCTTAAGAAAGAAAACTGTAAAAACGAACCTCAATGGCAAAACCTCTCGCGAAAACGTTTTGAAGCCTTTGTTCACGGATCTCTCACTGATTGTTATGAAGTAAAATCGTCATTTCTTCGATTGATTGAAGTCCTGTTTACATCAATTCCATTAATCCAGTCATGATCTTACCTTACATTGGTGTCTAGAATGATTACTCCTTCTTCTATTCCCTGTATTTTCGAGTTTCAATGTATCTCTGACTTGAACACAGCCTTCTGACGGGGTAACGAGGATTGACCTTTCCCCGTTTTTGAGCCATTATGAAATGTGGTGGCTAGTGAACCCTGACAAAGTCACTTTAGAACTTCAAGAATTTTCAGATAGCTCCTATCCTCTATCTTGAAATTGACTTCATTCTAAGTTTTGTTAATATTGGTTACGTTTATGAAAAAAATGATTCCATGCACTACCTAATTGTGTGTGATTCTTAATAGACTAAGTGTATGCTGATAGAATAAAATGTGTCCAGAAACTCCTATTATTGCACTTGACCTTACAGGTTGACAAGGCAGTCGTGATTCTGTAACCATTGTTTACAAGTTTCTGACATAAATAATGAATATTACGACTGTGGCAACAATAGAAGACTGTCTTTTGGGAAAGTGTCTGATTGTACAGGGAACTAAACTAACAGAAATGACTAGAATTTAAAAAAAAAGGAGGTTTATATTTTTACATATTATTATTTTCTTGCCATATTTAGCAATTATGATATGCCTTTTTTAGTGCTTTGATTGATATCTATCCGATGAAATAACTAGTGGACCAGGGTAAAACCTATTTCTTGGTGGCAAGGTTGCGTTAGGAGGTTTAAGACTTTCTCCCTCTTCCTAAGAATCAATTTCACCACAATTTGTCATATTTTTTCCTTTTCACTTTCATAAAAGCGTCATAGATTTGCCCAGTCATCACCATTCAATACAAACTCTTTTGATGAGAAAAGAAGAATTCATTCAAACGTCACAAACTCGTGAAAAACTGATAAACAGCTTCATAATCTATGTGCTTGGCATTTAAGAAACAATTTCATAAAGGGGGTAAGTTTCTAAAGAAACTGTGGTGCTGCGGTGGTGGGGGTAGCAAGGTAATTTGGTAATATCAACTAGGTTGAAATTGTAAATTGGCCACCGTAAAGAGTTAAAAAGCTGACGTTTCGATCGTTAGCCCTTCGTCAGAGCGAATGGAGGAATTGTGGGTTGTGTGTGGGTTTATATGCAGAAAGTGGAGCCACCCTATTGGTGGGAACATGGCGACGAGAAAAACACGAATAAATTAGTAGAATGAAAAGCGTTCGTTGATACCTGTGGGATTAGGAGTGCCGATTAGAAAGATAAACTTTTGTTCAAGAGTTTTGCGGCTTTTCGAGCTACCTAAATGTAAGGAAAGACCGCAGATCGCCATATGTTGCTTAGGATGATTGGGTAGATTAAAGTGTCTAGCGACTGGTTTTTATCCGTCCTTGTCATTCCTTTCTACAATTTTTCAGCCAATACAACGGCCCCAAACCTGAACTCTACGGTCGCTACATTGAAGACTGTATCGGTGCTACCTCCTCTACTAGAAAGGCGCTTACTCAATTCATAACCGCACTCAATTCCTTTCACCGTGCTCCAAAATATACCTGGGAAATTTCCGACAATTCTTTATCCTTTTTAGACATCAAAGTTTCAATTGAAGGCAACGGTTTATGTACTAGTGTGTATTACAAACCTGCAGATTCACATAGTTACTCATTGTATTCATCTTCGCATCCATCTCATGTGAAGAATTTCATTCCCTTTTCTCAGTTTCTACGACTTCGTCGTTTATGTAGTGATGACTCTGGTTTTTTTTTTCACAAATCAGAGTCTATGTGCCAGTTTTTCGAAAAACGTGGTTACCCTGTTTCTGTCGTTCAAGCGGGTCACCACCGCGCCCAACTTATTGATCAACAGTCAGCACTACAAACGTCACAGAAGAAAACTTCCGAACGCATTCCATTTACTCTCACTTTTTCACCCTCACAACCA